CTCTCTCTCTCTCTCTCTCTCTCTCTCTCTCTCTCTCTCTCTCTCTCTCTCTTTTCCCCTTCCTTTACTCGATTGCAACATCGAGTTAATGCGGAGCGATAATTCACGTAATTTTCGGACAATATTAAGCCACTCGGTGGCAGCTTAACCCTATGTTAAGCCGTACGCCGTAGAAGGGGTTGCAATGTCGGAGAGGAAGGGCGGCGTGGGCGATTCTCGACGGTGGTTGGAGGCCGGCTGTATTTAAAACGCGAATGCGCGCCGGCCGATTCGCCGTTTGAAGTTAAATGGAGTGTAAATGGCAGATAACAAACCGGCACTGTTTCCGATTACGGCATTCATTGTTTCCTACCATTATGCGCGCTCCGACGGTTTGTGTGTGACGCGGGTTACGGTTTACGATCTATTTATTGCCACACCGCCCTCACCTCCGTATACACTGCCGAAATGCGCTTTACACCACGCTTGCACAACCCCGCCGCACGCAACCCTTTCGCGTCTCCGACCGCCGACGTTATCCCACTACCACTATCGTCACCACACCCGGATTCGCCACCCGTTTCACCTGTCCGCCGCCGTAAATACGCGACAAATATTTTAGTTTCGTGCGCTGTGGAAATGGAGTCATTCGAATGGACCGTATGTAATTTGCGAGCGTGTCGAAATACGACCGCGATTATTTGCTGCCTGACAATTTTAGCACACGCTACTTTTCCATAAATATATGTCATTTTGGGCGCACATTATCGCGACCGTTCTCGTGCGACTATGCTCTACCCGTTCGAAACCTATACTTTCAAATCAAATATATAATTCACTTAGAACATAATTCAAAATTCTGTAAAATTTTCATCCGCCATTTTATGCGGATGTTTCTCATATTAATGAGATATTCAAATTTGGAGGTGGCATAATGTGCATGTATCGTCTTTACACAATTGTGTATGTGCACATGTAGATCTGTTAGTAGAAAAATTTAAAATTTGCCTTAATTTTCAAAATTTACGACATTTCGCTTTTTAACATTCAATTTAAAAAGTAATTATTTCTTTGCCCCCTCAACACGACTAAAATAATTAGGTTTAATAATCTCATGTTAACGATATACGCTGTTGTTTATTTACACGTTACCCTTAAAGTGCAGACACTTCTTACTTTACTTATTTGAAGAAGAGTTTTAGATTTATTTACAAATTGATCCTACCTAATATTGACTAGACAGGGAATGTTTTGATTGCAATGAGTGAAACTAAAGCGTGTATACCACGCAACCAACGTGTCGATAGACACGTCCATTAATCTCTCCGTAGACATTAATTTCTTGTTGTACACATATACAATGTATAAGTGCCACAATAGTATCCCTTAATAATCTCTTTAGAGGACACACAGGGTGGAAAGGAAAATTTATAGATGAATAGTTGCTAGGTAAATCTGCGGAACATTATGTGTGTTCGCGACGCAAGGAAGATGTATAAAAATTCGATTAACCGGAATTACCGGGAAAAGATAACATTAAACTTTTCGTAATTGCGATACGCAATACGAACGTTCACACACTACGTTCACGATATCTCGACCTCTATCTCGATCTAATGGGACATAATATAATAAATAAAGAATGACACCATAGATATCGTTACCTAAGCGCCATAATATCCGCTATTTTTTATCATCACCTGAGGATTCAATTCTCGAAAGAATATCCAGCCGTTAATATATCGTCTTCGGACGGCAGTTTTCGACGTCACTTACTATGAACAGGAGTGGCCCTTCTTTTAATCTCGACTTGTTCGACAATGCCGTCGCTCTCCTTATCTTGATGAGCGGTCATATGTCTGGTAAGGTGATGCCTTTCACGGAAGCTCTCGTCGCAGACGGGACATCTAAGCTTCTCCTCCCTCCTTCTTCTCGCCGCCTCGCCCGAGTTCTCGTTCTTGTGGTGAGACCTCATATGGTATACCAGGTCAGAGGTCATCCGGAACGACAGATTGCATTTGGCGCAGACATTCTGCGCCGGCAGTGTCAGAGCGGCAAACGACGGCGGCAAGAGACCAGCCACTCCGGCGGCGGTCGCCAAAAACCTCGGCCTGGCAAGAGCATCCGCCATCGGCGGGAAAACGGAGATGGGGTTGTAGGGTAAATTCGGGTAAACCGGCGGTAAATCTGGTCGAAAAGTAGGCACCTTCGGACTGGGCACCTTAGGCGGTTGAGCAATCTGCGGGATTTTCAAGTTCTCCAGCAAGCCTGTTTGTCCGGTCTCCGAGCCCATCAGGAAAGGGTATGTCATCTTGGTAGGAAACGGCGCATACTTGTAGCTTGTTGCACCGGGCAAAGACACCACCGGTGGACTGACGCTGCTCTGATAGCTTGCCCGGTCCTCAGGCGATATCGACGACCTGGGCGAAGTCTGTCCATCTTCGTTGAAACCGTTTCGCTGGGCCACCAGGTTGACCTTTGTGAAGGCACTGCGGGACTCTCCGTGACGGTCGGTCGCGCAAGGAATACTACTCTCGTAGACTTTCGCGCAAGCCAGAACGGAGGGGTCTGCTGATTCCGGGCAGGTGCTTAAGATGGATTGATGAGTAGAGAAAGCGGGTGGACTCGGAGTCTTTTGAAGTCGACCAGTTGACGCGTATCTTCTGCCATCAGAATCCGGAGAAAGCCTCGGCAAAGTCGGCGTTAGCGTTCTCGGGGATACGTACGGCGGACTCAACGAGTTCTCTGTGCAATGTGGCAGTCTTCTTCTATCTGCGCCGCCAGAGTCGTTGTCGTAATGTTTGATGGTAAGATTCTGCGGCAACCGATCGGTGTCCAAGACATTGTCTACGGAGATATCATCTCGCGGTCGCTCCCTTCGGCTAGATACCAGCCTCAATTTCTCGCTCTGACGACGCGCCAAGTTCTCGTCAGGCGCCACTAAGAAAGCAACGTCGAAAGAACGCTTGTTGGCTCGCTGAAGGGGGTATGAAGCGTCGTGCGTGACGTCGCTGATGGATGCCGGGCACGACGACAACGTCAGTACCGTCGTGGTCGGCGTCGACGTCGCGGAGGCAGCGCGTTCGATGCCACCCGTGCGATCTTCCATTGTCATCCTGCTCGCCCCGTATGATCGACCTGTGACAATGGATGGTGAGCGCAAATGTCACATCGACACGGAGTGATCGATCGTTCATGATTTGATACGCTCAGCACAGATGTCCTATATTCGAGGAACGTGAATCAAAACGGGTGTTATCACCGAAACTGCGCAAAGGAAGCGAAATATGCAGACTCTACTTTATATTCGAACGAATGTAATGAAAATAAGCATCGAATGTTAAATTTATAAATAGATGTAATTCGCAACACTGACTCTACAATTAATCGATTAACTGATAATGGAATGTGATAACGAAGATATCACCTCAAGCAACACGTAAATTGGAAAGAAGTTTTTAAATAGCGAGCGAAAGATTAGATTTACGTTCAAAAGTTTCTGTAAGTTGTTGTAAACATACACTACCGCTCAAAAATTTGAAGTAGTCCATAATTTTACGGTAAAATAATGTTGTTTTTACTGACACACATAATTATTTTATTTAACATATAACACAAATTTTTAGATGTTCCACATAAACTTTTAAATGGTGATGTATGCATTATACTGCAATTTTTACAAACAACACCAAATAACAAATTATTCTTACCAGATTGCGACAAGTGTGTTCCGAGCACACAAGGCCTGCGAACCGCGCCACCCTCTCGAGGGTATCTCTACTGTCTTCCCTAAGACATGAAAACCGCACTTTTCCCACAAGATTTCTTAGTCCAAGACCTCCACAAGCACGCGAGCCCGAGATCAAGTACAGGATGAGCGAAAGTAATCCTCTAACTGGACTCACCGATCTGGTGCACAGTCCGGGACACACTAAAAGTGGCGAACACTCGAAGTCGTATCGGTGGTCCGCGTTAAAATGAGGGTGCCGTTCGCGCATACCCCGTATTTAGGAGTTGCTGTGACCGAGAATAGCACGAACAGCAGCAAGTGGAGGCGCAACGAGGGTGGCACCGGCCAATGGCAGCGTTTGTAACGTTATACGGGGGTGGAGCGTAGCAATGGGGTGAACATATTCGCTCGTCGGGATGCGTCTGCTAGCACCGTCCAGACCACGCCTACATATTTCAGGTTCGACACATGTGCCTGGGATCGTCGTCGCCGTCGCCGCCGTCGTCGTCGTCGTCGTTGTCGTCGTCGTCGTCGTCGTCGTCGTAATCGTCGTCGTCGTCGTCGTCGTCGTCATTGTCGTCGTCGTCGTCATCGTCGTCGTCGTCATTGTCGTCATCGTCGTTGTCGTCGTCGTTGTCGTCGTCGTCGTCGCCGTCGTCGTTGTCGTCGTCATCGTTGTCGTCGTCGTCGTCGTCGTCGTTGTCATC